TTGAGTTTGCCTTCAGAAGAGTTCGTAGACTACATGTTGAAGTTAAAGCTTCTTTTCAATCGAGACGCGGCAGATTTGACTTTCTCTAGACGGACAGTCCCACCGATATGATTCGTGCATGAATCTCTTCGGAGATGGTCCATTGGTAGGTTACACGAGCTGCAGAATAGGAGTCCTCCACTGACATGGAATGTTCCCTCCTTGAACTGTCTTGCTCGATCGGCCGGGGTTATCTCCTGCGCATAACTTGGAAAAGATGGAGAGATTGGGGAGAAATATTGGACATGCGCACAACTTGGAAAAGGAGGAGGTAGAAGAAAAGGATCAGGCGTATGCCAAGGAAGGAATCGGTTTTATGGGTGATACGAGCTTGGACGACGATTTTATTCGAATTCGTCTAACAATGAGAACATCCCTCCTTTTTCCTGATATTCGTTGGAGCGGGCTTTGGCGATCCGCGTCGTCTCACATGTTCTCATCGATGATCCTCTGAACGATGAGTGCGAGATCGTGAACTCGGCCTCTCGCGATCTCTGCAATGGACTCGAGTTGGTGGCGTCGGCAGTCTTCCGAGTCCAGAAGTCCTTGAGCGGGAATTCTACCCGCTCCTCCTTGCAGAAGCCTATTCCGAGGCTCCGGAGGACCGTCTTGCAGGAGCTCTCTTGCGAGACGATGGAGCCTACTGGCTTGGCTCTCGACTGAAACGCATCGGTTGTAGCTGCGTTGGAAGTCCTCGGGAGAAACGAAGGAATTCGGGTGGAAGCGAAGCCCCCCGATTTCTTCGGCTTCGATGCGGAGCTCATGGAATTCTTCCAGGAAGGCCCTGATTGGATTGACTTGTCGCCGCTGAGGGAGGGAACCCATTTGAGATAGCTCGAGGTGGAAACTGAAGACGGTCAAGTGAAGCTGAGCGAAGAGCAGAGTGTGGGGTGCTCGATCGAGAGCTCTCTTTTAAGAGGTGCCGGGCATGAGAGAGGCGGGGGTGTTGTCTCGCGTCAGAAAGATCGATGCCTGGTTCCCTCACCCTGCGGTTCCGTCTCAGAAAGTTCTCGCCCTCCAATTCAAGAAAATTCTCGCAGCCGAGATCACCGTGAACCCCCCAATTATGACCCGGGTCTTGTTCTTTCAAATATCCCAGTGAAGGGGCTTCTAGCAGAGAGAAGCTACTATTGGAGAGGAGCTACCGTCGGAGAGGGGCTCATGATATTTCGAGAGGGGTTCCGAGATGGGAAACGGATGACGGAATCGCGGGAAACGCTTGTTCTCGACGAAGAGCTTGACATCATTGCACAATAGCAACAGTCTCGATGGGCTATGTATCAGCGTATGCCTCACAGTGTTTACAATATACAATTTGATGTTTACAAATCGGAACCTTGCCTTAGAGGGAAAGGCTTCTATTTTTTCGAAAGCCTCTAATAGGGGGCCTCTATTGGAGAGGCGCTGTTAGTGGAGGATTTTCGGTATCGCTCTGAGTATCGATTGATCCTCCCTGATTCTCCGCAAACGGACACGCAACAGCTCGGTAGAACGTGCAGGGCGGATGGTCGATCGTCTCAAAGCATCATGGTGGATGACATCCAATTCAATGAGTCGACTCCATAAAGGCGCAGCAAACGCCATGATCCCGGATGCACTGATAAGCAGCTCAGTTTCCGGATTCGGGCAGATGGCTGCCTATAATAAGGCGGCCTCTGGCGGGCGAGAAGAAGCCCGAGCAAGGTTTGACCATGGGGCTCCGTGGGATACCGATCAGAGCCTTTGCCCGACTTCGGAAACAGCGTGGAGCTATGACTCTTTTGAGACTTTGAGATATTCGCGGAGGAACCGAAGCGTAAGCGGTTCATGAAATCGGTTGACGATGGTCATCATCATCGCGGCAGGGTTTGTACGAGATTTTTTTTCTCAGATGCCCGGCTCTCCTATACTAAACTCTCAGATGCCTGACTTCATGTGCCCAACTCCCAAACACCTGACTATCAGATCGCCCCGTCTCGGGAGGAGAAGACCTTGTACCCGCTCGCGGTGGGCCGCAGCCAACGCCTCCCGCGCTCAGGCTGCAGTCAGCGCCTCTTGCGCTCCGGCCACAGTCGGCAGTCTTTGGGCTCAGGTTACGCAACCTCAGTGCGCACTCTCTAGCTCCCTGGGTTCAGGTCGCCTAAGAACGCCATATCTAGTCAGTTCTAGCCTAACTTAAGCTCTCACTGACCTGGCATTTGAGACGGTACGCGCTCGGCTGTGAACCCCGGTGAATCGTGAGAGTCAATTGGAGATTTTGTAACATCGATTCTTTTGATCCCGCGACCCACATGCAAGTGCATGAGACCGGGATGAGGACGCACATAAACAATAAAGTAACACCTGACGTGCAGGCCCGACATCTAGCGCGAACTGACCGTAGTGGGGTGGACTTCGTGTTGGATGTTGGATACCACAGATTCGGACACGGGGAATCGACAGTAGGCAGTCACAGGATCTAGGAGCTCGACCTCCGATGGAACTCTCGCATGTCCTGAGACACGATCTCCATCGTTCACGTAGATGCTCTGGACAGACAGGGAATAGTCGGATCAAGTCTCCCGTTCAGGATGACTAATAGGGTTGATCCGATGCCAAATGATTCGAAGTTCAGTTCGGCTCCGAATATCAGCCTCTGGGGAATCGGAGCAGCGGGAATCAGGCCGCTGAAGATCTCTCAGGAGCCAAAGCTCCCGGGATCCCAAGTACAGGAGCATCGGTGTGATTATGGCCTTGATCACCCGACGCGCAGAGTTCGAAAAAAGAGGGAGGAGGAGCGAAAACATGAGCGTATCCGAATGAATGAAGCTGGATGGATACGGGCCTGAGTGTCTATTGCATTCGAGTTCATCATTGACTGAAAAAATCATGGCGATTCAATCAGGGTGCCTAGTATTCATCTGATATTCACAAGAGCGGAATTCCTTGTCGTCTCACATCTCCTCGTCTGTGATTCTCTGAACTAACTAAGAATCCTCCCGACACCTAGCGATCCCTGCAATGAGCCCGGGTGCGTGCCACCCGGGTGCGTCGGCAATCTTCCGAGTCTGAAACCCCGTGAGCGGAATTCCATCCGCTCTGCTTTGCGGACAACTAATCCGAAGATCCGGTGGACCGTCGTGCAGTAACTCGCTCGCGAGACGGTGCAGTCTACTGGCTTGACCCTCGACTGAGACACATCGGGCGTAGCTATGTTGGAAGTATCCGGCAGAAACAGAGCAATGCGACTTGGTCCGAGACCGCCCATTTCTTCGGCTTCGACGCGGAGCTCATTCCAAAAGGCAGGAGGACCATGAATGGAGTCGCTCGTTGCCGGTAGGGGAGGCAGCCCATCCAGTACAGCTCGAGGTGGTGGGTGCAGACGGTCAAGTAAAGCTGTGATGACCAGAGTGTGAAGCCTCGATCGGGAGTTACTTCTTACGGGGTGCTGGGCTCGAGAGATAGAATTGGGTGCCCTCGCATTCGATAGGCTCGTGAAAGTAATCATCACATTGAGCATTGATCGACGCATGCCCGATTTTTCGTGACGAGACCCCCATTCCCTCAGTGATGGGTCGCAGGGTCGAGTATTCCAATTCTGCTAGAACTCTCACAACATTCGGGTACCTCGGGCGATACCGACTGAGCGGTGTCTCGTAGCTTCCGGTCTAGATTTGTGGCAGCGAATCAGTTTTCTTGCATTGTCTCAAAGAGATGGCGTCTCTGACCTCGTGCCACGGGCTGAGAGCTCTGGGATGAGTGCTTTGCTCGCCTTGCGGTCGAGAACGGAAAAAAATCAAAATTACCGGAGCGCGTAATGGGTACTGATTGTGAGAGCTGGGTCGAGCGTGATCATATCGCAGTCAATCATCGGACCATCAGGGTATAGCACACGGAGAAATTGCGCTCGATCGTCCCCCACTCAACCGGGATCGGGTTTGTGAGAGATTCTGGAGCTTGGCTTCCATGAGCGAGACATAACAGCTCTGATGAGGCTCGGCACTTGGGTAGCATGAGCCCGACTCTCAGGTTCCGGACATCTCGGACGCGGTTTCGGATCTCTCCCCTCCAACTTGGGTCAAACTGCTGACCGAACTTAGACCCTTGTCATTGCGTACTCCCAACCTTATCGGGTCTAGGCCGAGTTCTGCTCCGCTCCGATGTCGGAGCCGCTCGCAGGAAGCCGCTCCCAAGCTTCAGAAGAGAATTCGTTCCCGGGAGGGGCAGAGGAAGCACTTAGCAATTCTGGAAGCGTTTCGTCGATTTAGGCTGTACACATCAATGTGTGTTCGTATTTCTCAAAACAAAGAGCTGGCCTCGGCCCGGCCATAGCCGCCGCGCTCACCTCTCCCGTCGCATCAAAAGACATCTATCGAAATTTAGCCGAGCCGCCTCATGACGACCCCGACGTGTGTCGAATATACGCACCCGAAGCAAGGCTCGGAAGAGCTCGGTTGTCGAATCCTGAGGTCGAGCCAGCTCTACCGCGAGTGAGCCATCTTAGTTAGTTAGATTCGAGGAGTTCACAGTGCATACTGGAGAAAAACTAGGGCTTTTTCGCTTCTCCCTGGAAAACGGTGGATGGGAACGATGCCGGAGTCACATGGGCGAGGGATAGCATCATTCCGCCTTTAGCGAACACGAAATCGGGTTCTAATCAAAGTCCCTAAGGGGCGAAGTGACTGACAGACAGACATCACGCCTCTGTTAGAGGGGGTGATCTCCCCAAATATCAACAACCAATTATTCGGCTCGATTGAGCGATCCGGCGGTAGCAACCGGTGAGCATGCAATGAGTTTAGAATTTTTCTGTCAGGCTCGGTCGAGTTCTGTATCCGCGGCCCTCCACTTATTACGATTAGAACATCTTGCACTCACTGCTGACGCGGAGCGCGTGTTGCTGTATTTGGCTTCCGCGCAATGGATTCGAGACGAGCGAGGAATCGGCGGCGCGGTGGTACCAATCTCTCGATTCAATCCACATATTTCCTGACACGCATACAATGTCCAATATCATGGTTCTCTCCCCGGCCCTTAATGGCCCTGATTCGTCGGGCAGTTCTATGAAAATCACAATATATCGTCTGTTATTGTTCGGATCGGGATTCAGACGCGGAGCGATCATGACGACATTCCTCGTCTTTTCAGCAGTCGCTCTAATTGGAGAATGCAAAGGTCAGTTCACAAGCTCGTGATGCCATAAATGAGTGGGTAATTAATATCACCCCCATCTCAGGCACCGCGCCGCCGTGATATCCCATCGGAAGGGCTCTCAGAAAGGAGCTGTGGGATACTCCGTGGTGTACCCCATGGCATGCCCAAAGGAAGATGCATGTATTTTTGAGAAGAGGACTTTCCTTGCAGCTGCTCTCCCCCGAGCGGATCTTCGTCACGCGTTACGATTCGGCTCGCAGTACACTGTGACTGGGCTTGTGATTATGCCCAGTCTCGAGATCGAGGAACCGTTCATCGCTTACATTGATGAGAGCTCAGGAAAGTCTAGAGTGGACTACTACAAGGGCGAGATGAAGACGTTTCAGATTGATTCGGAGTTTTCGAGAATCTATTGGTCGCTAAATAGCGAAACTCATGCTACCGAAGTGCATTGCCATACCGTGAGTGCAAGCGGGCTCCAAGAGCCCACAGGAGTGCTCCCGGACTTGTCCGATTTAGAATTTGTGCGCGAAGAAGCCTGCAACACCGACTCGAATGCTTCATTCCTTGGAGAATCAGGCAGCTCCCCTCTGTGTCTTCGATATGAGAGGATCTTGAAGGATCAGGATCGCGAAACTAAACTAGTTTTCTGGACTTCCCGGTGAGCGAAATGCTCGAAACAGAATTTTTGTGGTCATCATTGAGTCCGCTCTTCCATTCCAATGAAGATATCCGTCGATACGGTTCCAATTTATTACTATGTTTTCTTGCAGGGATGCGGACGCGGGTTTCATCCCAAAACGGTACCGCGTGACAGGTTACGATAATTTTCTGAAATCGCGACTCGACGAGTACGAGGTAATCTATCTCCAATTCACAATCGGTGACCTGGACGAAGATGTCTTCGATATCCGATCGGTAACCGGTGAGCAGACGACGCACTTTCTTCCAATTCGAAAACCGGTGCTGGGAGTTGTATCCAAGATTATTTATGATTCAATTTTATGCATACTGGCCTGAACTGTATAAGTATATCGCTTCCTTCCCTCCGATTCTCTTGAAGATCTCCGACAAGCGAGAATGAGAGCGTTTCACCGGCTCCAAGATTTGAAGTGCGATCCTATGGGTCCCGATTCTGATTGCTCAAATCCCCCCTCTCTCTGCAGATAAACCTTGCATCGCTGCCACGACGATGTCCGAACTTTCCGGCTACCGTCTTCTCAACCCTATGAGGGGATTCGTTCACAATGACGTATCTCGTGTGTGAAGCTTTTATTATACTCTTACTTTCCGAGAACTCACTCTAGGAGTGACGTCACACTGTACGGACGAACGAGCACTCGGCGACACCAGTGGAAATAATAAATCTCTCCTCTGAGAATGAACAACATTTCATCGGCCTCCCGACCGGGGGACAAGCTAGTGTTGTCCCGGTTCTGGACCCGAACGTATTGGAAAAGACAAGCATAATTTACATCATATATTCTCGACGGAATAGAGTTTGCGAGCTGCGAAATGAATATGGTTTCCCTGACGTCGCGAGTCCTCGGAAGTGTGCGCGGCTCAAGCAGGAAACGGTCCCACTGACGCCTCTAAATGAATAGCGCATCTCCTTTAAGTTGTTAAGGGCGGGTCGCAGGGAGACGATGATTACGACTGCTCCTGCCCGATGCGGGAATATCGGTAAGAACGGAGAGAATCAAACTTCCCGTCGGAACAATGGTGGTGTGGCCAACCAGCGGTGAGCTCTCAGAATCTTGACCGCGAGATTCCCACATTCCCCACCAGAAGACCGAAAACTCGTGGGATATTCCGCAGGCGGAACTGGTTGAATTCACGAAATTCCAAGATATGTATGTTCGGCGCGTCCGTCTCGAGAGCCGCTCAATTCGGATCAGGGTCGCGCTCATGGCGAGCACGGTACAATCTGGCGACCTCTAGATATCCACTCTGGACCATGGTGCTGCCGATGGCGTCGGCTCCAAGATTCTGACGAGAAGGACATCGATATCCACATTCTCGTCATACTCATGTTAGGCGAGCCGTGACAAAGAGCCTCTCTTGATTTGACCGCCTCGAACTTAGGAACCGTCTTGATGATCTGATACGCCTTTGGAAGAACGGTACCGGATAAATGTGCTCCACAACGATCCCGGGAGATTCAGGAAGGGGAGATGAGAATCCCGGGAAATACCTCGTGGACTTCAGCCAAGAGCTTGCGATTCAAGCAACGGGGGAAATATGCATCGGAAAGTCGTCTTCTCTACGAATATGATAAGATCATTGTGGAGGGACGATAAAGTTCGTTCCATGATCACACCGTTCATAGCGCTTTCGTCTGTCCTGACCTGGCTCTTGCATTCCGGCATCCCATGTCCGCGATGTAACAATCCGAGTATTCTGCAGGAGAGAACCGTGCCGCCGACAACGACCTCTATTTTCAAAAGCCATCTTTGTACACTGCAGGCACTTTCAATTTCAAGCCGTCTCTTGATTTACGATAATCCTTCATCCGCTATCAGAAGGGTCCGAAGCGGACACGTCTCGATGCTGAAGGCGGGGAAACTGAAGAAATGAGCGACGCTCCGCATTTCCATGCAACGCCATGGACGACCAATGGCACGAATCGTTCCCTTCAAGGGCGATGCATAAGCTGGGACATACGTGGGGAAGGCGCCGGTCCTGAACTGCTCCCATTACCAGACACATTCCGATTCGTGCGTACAGACAAACTTGAAGTCTTCAGCAAGATTGCTCATGGAAACGGAGCCTGTAATCGATTTTAGCACCGATCTCCGTGCACAAGTGTGATCTTGTGGACCAATCCGTGAGTACCGCGAGGTAGTCTTCTTGGGCTCCTCTAGCTTCCCTCACAGGGACCTGACGAAAATGGCGAAAATTGATGATGACCTGTCATTCGTGCTCTTGCGGAGATCTCCTGCTCCGCGAAACTGATCCTCTCGGGCGAATTATGTTTCCAGGAGAGGCTGGTCGAGAATTCGACACAAAGATGACGGCATCTGGCCCATCGAGCCTATTCCGTGGATTAGACTCACGTGGATGTTTTTTTGTCAGACGAAGCCTCGAGTTCAGATAAACACGGGAGTCGAAGCCTTCGCGGCAGAATTTCGTCAGGTCGATCAGGTTCTGAGAAGTCCGTGAGTCAAACGAGATAGCCCCATGCGTTCCGATCGTCTAGCTCGGGTGCGAGGCCAGCCCAGATTAAACACTGTTCACCTGACAACGATAACGGCCAAAAGCAGGGACGCCGAACGGGATCTTTCGAGATATCAGTCGATATCGATACTGTCGACCTTGACATCGCCGAGTGGAACTGCGCGGGTACGACCGTCCCGAGTCAGCTCGGTAAGATTCTCTGCTGAGGCCTCCGGAACTCAAGGGCGCAGATCCTGCTTCTAAGGTCGAAATATACCGGAGGATTAGATTTTGATGTAAAGCCTTCTTTCCCCCACGTAGACTGCACGACGCATGACTCGAGACGCGCTCCCGCTTTCTACACATTCAGAGTCGGAGATAGAATCATTCGAGTAGCAGTCCCAGAGTCATCATGGTTCGTTCGAGCTACGCTCTGTCCTTCTCAGTCATCCTCTGTGGTGAGTGTCTACAGGAGTAGTCGTCTTCCTTACCCCACTGCCATCGACCAAAGGCGGTGCGATGGGCTGAGCACAGATGGTGGAAGCACGGATACAACCTCAACACAGGAATCAAATGGACTTGTCATCCTTCGCAGGTCAGATCGCCTCGTTCAGCCAGGCAGCCTTCAGCCTGGCTCCGCAGTTTTCGCTGACTGGGTACATCCTTGGGCCCGCGCTCGGTATACCGAAACCATTCTCCTTGTTCCACGATGGAATCGGCTCTAGATCCCGATTGGATTTCTATGGAGGCGACAAGAAGCATATCCTGAGGAACAAGTCATACTACACGTTATTTTGGTCGACTAGGTCTGCGACACACATTCCTGTACAGACTTGTCGACATCTCAGACACGATGGAGATCCGAACCCAGTGACCGATCTCGTTTTGAGAAATCTGGACCAAGTCGAATTCGTGCGAGCCGAACCTTGCGATGCTGAGACCACTACGGTCCATGCTTCCGTCGCCTTCGGGGGCATGTCTTGTAATCGTTACGAGTATCGCGTCGAACCTTTCGTATATGTTCTCTGGGCCGCTAGGTGGGTTGGAGCTGAGGCGGGACGATAGCTTCGGCTTCCGGGTTCTCCTGAATTGACCTATCCTAACACGCTAAGTCCGTATCGCAGGGATCCAGGACACGAGCAAAACATGAGACCGGTGCGTGTCCTGTCCATCAACGGTGAGAAGACCGAGACGCTCTTCCTAACTTACACTCTGGGCATCCAAAACGATGATGTGTTCAATGTTGAGCAGCTAACCGGTTCGTGCAATCGATAATTTATTTATCATTCCTCATTTTCATAATTTGCGTCGACAATACACATTCAAGATTCATAACTCACCCTGAACTTCGTCAGATGTCGGCCGATGCGTGGATGAATCTCCGGCAGTCATTTCCCAGGCTTGTTAGCCAGAAAAAGGAATGGTCGCAACGGATTGCGCCTCCAGCCGTTCCCGGAATCTCTAGCGATGCGGTACGCCTCGGGCAGAGTGAAACCAAATCATCTACGGATACATCCACGGATCCATCTTAACGAAGAGAAGAGTCGTCCGACACACATATGCAATCAATTGCTCATCCAGCTGATCGAATAAAGAACAAACATTCGGAAGTTTGCCTAGATTTTCGTACCAAGCAATTTATGTATGTACCCAAATCTACCGCTATAAGACTATAGTTACCAGAGGTGTCGAAGAACTAGCCACTCGGAAATAAGAAGTGGTGCATCTTCGAATTTGCGACCCCAAAGCTGAATAGGGACCGCTGGGCAACCCCAAGAACAACCCGTCTGAGGAGGAAATGCGACGCTTCCCGGTGCCTGCACCGCGGCTTTCCAAAATAATTTCCGATTCCAACAATAGCTTCTGGAAGCGGGAGACGTGGAAATCGTCACTCTCCCTTGTCCGATCTTAGGTGAGGGAAAAAATAGTCCGTCGTTCGGGCTTCGGATCGGGTACGATCTCAGGGATTGCACACGGGAAAGATATTTCGCGGTTCATGTTTGAGACTCTTCCCCTGGTTGCCGGCATCGCGCTCCTGCGTTGAATAATTTACGATTTCGGCCCGGATGATTTTATTGGAATGCTGAGAACCACAGGAGCCCCTACCGAGAACTCGCTGCCCTCGAAATCTGCCGCCCCAGTCTACAGCCGGGTAAGCCCATCGGGTGGATCCTTCACTAGGAACGGGTCAAATCTGATTCAATCGAATCACATAATCAACGCGGGAATCGCGAAGTTCTATTTAAATTAAGCATTAGCGATCCATGTGGGAAGCGATGACGTCACTTGTGATCCATCCCTGCGCTTGATCACCAAGGTTCCTTATTCCATGTCGATCTGCGGTGCGATCTGATCAGCGCATTCGGCACCCAGGGACCGGCCAGGCATCGACAACGGCTTTGCTTCTCAACCCGAGAACTCGTCAATCCAGATTGCGGGATCGACGTTACTCCGAAGCTCAATCCTTATCATGACTCAGAGAAGGGGAATCGATCCGAGGTCGAAGATCGCCCCATTCGTGGAAATACTGGATTCGCAGTCTCATCTCATGATTTCGTTGACGCTATCGGATTTTACGGAGCCCTTTCTTGTTCTCGAGGTCTTCGCCTTCTATGGCTCGGAGTTCCAGTATTAATCAATCATTTCGCGCGCTTGGAATTCATTCGCTCCCGAATCTGCGCCGAGACAGGTCATGATTGCGAGGTCACCCGCGATCGCTCTGGCGCTTGCTGCTCTCGGTAGGTTTACTTTAGCAGTCAGAATCCGGTCGGTGCGAGCGCATGCCTCATATTTGACTTAGATCCCAGGAGAAGCCGAGCCCGTGACCACGAGAAAAGTGTCTCGCGCCACGACTTCAGGATTGTTTTTCCGCAGCCGCGATTCCGTCCTCGACGTTGCAAAGTCCCCGAGCGGGATTCGCACGAGAATATACAGTTACTGGTTATCTGATGATGCCTCGATCCGGAATCGAGGAGCCTTTCAGCGCTCATTGCGACGGAGACCGCGGGAAATATCGCGTCGATTACTATCATGGTGCGATGAAGACATTACGGATCAGTTCTGACATCTACAAAGTTCATTGGTCGCCCAACGAAGAGACTCACATTCCCGAGGAAAATTGTGAAATTATGCCCGTGGGAAGGAACGAATATCTGGAACCGGGGGGAGTGCTCCCCGATTTGTCTGACTTCAAGCTCGTTCGTACCGAATCCTGCGGCACCGGAGTAATCAGGGCTTCGACAGGGCTATCCGAGTCCGAGTGTCATCGTTTCGAGAAAATCACGCAGGATCGTGATCGGGTCTCAAACCATGTTTTCTGGGCTTCTCGGTGAGTACAGCTCCACGTCGAAATGACATTCGCTGAGCAGGAATGCAATCCGGCATTTGTGAAATTGTCGCAGGATTCTCTCGATCGATGCTGCTTTGACTGGATTGCAGGACATCGGATCACGCTCTCAAACCAGTGCGCTACCGTGTACTGAAATACGACAACCATCTCCGGTCTCATTTCGATGAGTATGAAATTATCTACGAGAAATACAGAGCAGGCGTTGTGAACCCCGATCTGTTCGAGGTCGGCAGTGTGACTGGTAAGCAGTAAGCATGCCCCATCGAACCTAAAGTGAATGAGAGTCAGACAGAACTCAGAATGATCTGCGTATGGAGACACCACGTTTTGTATGAAATTGACCTCGAGCATCTTCTGCATTATTGTAGATAAGCAGTGTACCAAACTCCCGACGGCATCCCAGTCCTCCGCCCGTCATCTCTTCGATCCAATCCGAGAATTCGTCTCGAACAATGATTCTCACGTTGATGAGCACTTCGCCGAGTTCAAGAACACGCACGGGAAAGCGTACGAATCAGCAAGCGAAGATCGGAAGCGCCGCCACAATTTTCACCACAAGATGCGCTTCGTCAATTCGATGAACAGACGAAATCTCTCCTATGCTTTGGCGTTGAATGAACGGTCAGACCAATCCCGCGATGAAGTCTCTTCCCAAGGAGGCTGCTTGCGAATTCCTAAAGTACCGAATGCCCCATCGGATTTGCAGACGTTCTCAGCCGAAACGTGTGACACCGCCGGAATCCCTGATACGGTGGATTGGCGTCTTGAAGGCGTCGTGACGCCCGTGAAGAATCAAGGCACGTGCGGCTCTTGTTATAGTTTCGCTTCAGTCGCCTATCTCGAAAGCCAGTACATCATACGGAACGGCAAAGGAAATACGACTCGTTTCTCAGAGCAACAGATCGTGGACTGTTCCTGGGATTCGCTAAACATTGGCTGCAAGGGAGGCTTCCCTCATGGAGCCTTTGAATACGTTCAGAAATACGGACTGTTCACAGAAGACCAATATGGACCCTATCTCGATGATGAAGGCAAATGCAGAGATGCCGAGATGAAAGGAGAGCCAATTATTCCGACATTGAAGAGCTTCACAATGATGGAGGGGGCCGAATGTCTACTTAGGCACGTCGGGTTACACGGACCGATTGCGGTGGGTATCCATGGCTCATCGGATTCCTTCAGAGCTTACTCTCGAGGAATTTATAATGATCCGACGTGCGATCATTCATTAACTCACGCCGTTCTTGTCGTCGGCTACGGAAGTCTAAGAGGCGAGCCCTACTGGTTAGTGAAAAATTCTTGGGGACCCAAGTGGGGAGCTGAGGGCTACATCTTGGTCTCTCGAAAGGAAAACTATTGTGGCATAGAGAACTATCTAGCTTTCGCAGAGCTGTAGAATGGGTTTGGTCGAATCTGGAGGTGGATGTCCCATCGAGAAAATGAGTCGACGAATAAAGGAGCGTCATACTATAAGAAGATGAATGAGGATGAATACATTCGAGGATCAACATGATCCACGCTGAAAGAAGCCCCCGTGACCGGAGCTTCCCCTCGAGAGGAACCTCTGAAGCCCCTAAGTATGATTTGATCTCCAACTCGTTAGACTTCCCTCGTTTGACGGGTTGGCCTTCCGGAGTGGATCCGCGCGTCGGAGCATTTTTTTTAAATCGCGTCTAGCCGCTGCGACCATCCTCTGAGATCGGACTGGAATCCCGAATTGTCGTCCCAGCACAAGCGTGATCATTAGTTCGAATAAAAGTGGGAGGATCATCCTCCTAGTTCAAGAGTCCGAAGGCTGAATAACATGGGGAGCGCTCGGCCTTCAGCCCGGCACTGCTCACCGTGTCGGCCTGCCATCGCCCTCCTTCATGCTCGAATTGGAACGGCTCAATATTCGAACCCTCCCAGTCTTCCATGGAAATGATTGTTGATGATCATCTCAGAACTCGGATCATTTTATAAGGTATCATCCAGCGTCAGCACAAAGCACTTTAAAAAATCCCCTGCCACCTAAAGCAAGAAAGATCAAAATCCGCTTACACGGAACGTTCGACTCCTGTAGGCCTCAATGAGCAGAGTCAATACTTCTAGGATTCTGGCGTTCGGTTTGGACCCGCTCGGCGAGAGAAGGGCATCGCATCCCGTATCGATCGCATGATCCTGACACTCCAGATGGAGGAGGTCGAGCGTAAACATTCGGACAAAACGTGTCTCATGCTCGGCAGCCGAGGCGCCACAGGTCGTCCCGACCACCGCTGCAAGGCAGCGGCTGAAAGTGTTGTGGATGCAGCAGGTGCCGGAGAATCCGTCTTCTTGCTCTCGCTCCAGAACTTCCGTTAATCCGATAAGAGCTTTCTCGACACAAATTGGAGCTCTACACCTCGACATGCAGGACGCCTGTCGTAAGTACTCCTTGCGGAGTGTAGCGTTCCTGGTGCAATAAGCTTCTCGGAACTCATAGAGTCCCTTGGTGAGCTGTCGGAGTGCTCGAACCTGATCCGGCCTGAAGCAAGACCTCGCGACTTCCTCGATGCATTCGTGTCTTCTGAGAAGGGAAGCGCAGTACGAGTCCAACTCAGCACCACTGACGGGTAGATCCCTCCTGGTCTCTGAAGTGATGCACAGGGCAAGCCTTTCCTCGTTGCACGGGTCCTCTGCAGCGCTGCTCCGGATCAACAAAGAAATTCCCGAGACAAACACGAGAACTTGCACGATGAACGCTTCTTTGGGCTGCATGCTACTGCACAATATTCGAATGATAGCAGGTCGAGGGTTTCACGTGTTCCGTCCAGAGCTCTGACCGTGCACGTGTGTGAGTACCGCGATTGAGGTGACGCGCACTTGAGCGCCCAACGTATTCTCCTGCTCTACCGGGCCTCCGAATGTCGCTATTCACCGGGCGAATTCAATGCGTCAAGGCTCTCATGGTATTCTGGATGATCGAAACAGATACGAATTGAGAAGTATCGAGCCGGGGAAAATATTATTCTGTGACGGGAAATCATACTCATGCGAGTTTTCGACAAGGACAGCGCTCTCTTCTAGCATCGTTTCTTCGGTGCGCGGCAGGACGGTGCGTCAGCCGTGCCGGAGCACCGTCGAATCGTCTCCGTCGGTCAGAATCACAAATCGTGGAATATCCATTTTATATATTGGCTTGACATGAGCCCCGAATCGCAGCGAGTCTTGTATAGTATGCGCAGAGCGTCGATCATAATCCAGGGAACGCCTGCCTAAGGCGTTTCGGGAGGATTCGCGCGGGCTCTCCTACTCTACGTTCGGAATCACCCACGACCGTCATCCTCCACGGACGTGCCTCCCCGACTTCCCGGGGGACCGTCACTCCTGGATTTCGAACTTGCATGTATACCGAAATTCGAATGCGTACGGATGCCATTCTGCTGCGCATTTCACGATGATGGACATCGACCGCTTTCAGTCCATGCCATTGACGATCTGGCATTCCGCTCCTGCTGGAATCGTGATTCAGATATCATTCGACTCGTGACGCTTCTGAAGTCGGATGTAGAGCGTGATGGAGGATGGACAGCTCTCCGCGAGTAATAAATTTTTTTGGATTTAGGCGGCCATATTGGCGAGCTTCGACGAGGGAAGGTGGGTAGTCAGGACGCTGAAGGGAGGGCGTTGATGCAGTCGGATCTGTTCCGGGACCAGGCCATCGATCTATGCTGCCTCCGATAGTGGACTCGCACAAAGAATGCTCGGTTTCCCAATCAAAAACTATCCTCCCTACAATTCTTCACAGATGACGTATCTCTTCGGCGTGTGCCTTGTTCTTGCCTTCATCGGTTGCGATTCAGGTGACAGCACGCGATATACGATAATCATGGAGTCGAAATGCCTCGCCGATGTCGGTCAATCTACTACCATCGTCTCGGTAAGGCGGCCTAGGTTCCTCATCAGCCTCCGGACACTGAACTCTGGACCATGATTTTCAGTGGTTAAATGCCCGGACACAAGTAAGTGTAAGGACAGGCACACCTGTTGCGTCACAAGGTCAGCAACGTATTGGGCTTGCTGTCCACTACATAGGGCTAGGTGCTGTTTCGATCGACTGCATTGTTGTCCCAATGGCTACACGTGCCATTGGTCGAAGAAAATCTGCAGACACGCCGCGAAAGGTGAACGCGCTTGGGTGGACCTCATCAGTTCCTTCTGAATTTCGCGGGATGAAAGTGTGATGCGCGGTGCATCGGGACGGAAGATGATCTGGCACGACGAGAGTGCTCATCCCGCTGGACAGCTTCACCTCATCCAAACCAGAACATCTCATGTTCCTCTCGAGAGCTGAATGTTCTAGAGCCATGATTGAGGAGAACGCGTCTCTTATGGACAATGGGGAGCGTGGGAAAATAAATGTAATGATGAAATTCTAGTAGACGACAAGCTGTCCTCCACGGGAACCGTCTTTCTTGGACGGATGCTCCCTCCCCTATCCCTTTTCTCTCGAGTACAGATTGGGACTCATCATCATCATCAAACATGGCCTCGATCCTGAATCGACGCTTCGCCACTCCTGGCTACCGGTCCTGGTCAGGCACGGGATCCCGGGGGAAACCTCGAGGTAAGAAAACTCCTGAAGAACTCGGCGCAAAGCATTCGATCAGAGGAAGCCCCCGCTCCGTATGCAGACAACTTCAATCTGATTGCCCGGGTGCGATGAGTTGCTGGGACTAAGAGCTCGACTCTGACGCGGATCTTCCACTCTTGGACTCTCCGTCAGGCCTCGATGGACGGAATCATCGGCGGCATGGATTCGTTCATTGAAGCTCGACCCGCTCCAACTCCCCGGGTCCCTTCCGACTTGACTGTATTACGGTGTTTCGGCTTAGCCTTCGCTTGTCTTCATCTCGATATTTGGGAGTTGAAGCTTAATCGGGGAGACATCAAGAGTTACCTGCGTCCGTCGGTTCGACGTCAGAGATATATATATCGAGTTTATTCCGCAGTTCACGCTTATTCGTTCATTTCCCGTGACCCACTCCGTATGAATCGCGCGCAGCTCTGAGAAAAACAGACGTGAATTTGTGATGATTCAGGCTATAACGATTGCGTTGTACAATCTCAATTCTGATTGACGTTTAGCGGGTAGATTTATTCGATGTGACGCGATTGATTTCCACCGAACCCTTCCTATTTCCCGGAATCGAATGACTGCGCAGCTCACTTCAGCGATGAAAATGCTCCTGCATCGATCGGCAAAGTCGCTCACCGTCGAACCAAGGCTCGACGCTGACATGATCGCCGCTTGCTGCGTGATCGCCTCGGCACTGGTTTCCGCCGGTATGTACGCGCCTGCATATTCTTAGCGGAGAACACAGCGGAGTATTCGAGGCACTCGAAACTCTACGAGGAATGAGACGCGAGGGGCCTCCAGATCGAGAATGTCAGGATGCGTGAATGATTTCTAACCTCCGAAATATTCTTCTTCCAGGCGCAGTTCCCAGTACGGCTCGGCGCCACGAACTGCGGTTCCCCGATGAATACACGGTCACCGGTCGTCTAATATTGCCTCACTCTGATATTGAAGAACCTTTCGCTGCTCGCTGCGACGGGCGTAGCAGGAAATGTCGGATTGATTACTATGATGGCGCGATGAAGACATTTCAACTCGGCTCTGAGCTCTTCAGGATCCACTGGACACCGAATCCGGAAACTCACGCCCCAGAAGAGAATTGCCGCACGGTGACTCTGAGCGATAGCGAGGCTCTTGAGGCAAAAGGAGTGCTTCCGGATCCATCCGAGTACGAATTCGCGCGTAGTGAATATTGCTATGCTGAAGCGAGCGTTTGGCTCCGGGGAGTTCCTTATGTCGATTGCGATCGCTATGAATGGAGTTCTTGGTACCGAGACCATGCCTCAGACCACGTCCTATGGGTCGCCAAGTGAGTTGATAGATGCAGAACCGCCCAGCATCGCTCGAAGATTTCCCGAAAATTCGCAGAGAAACTGAATACATTGGAAATACAGGAATGCGGAGGGTAACTCCGTGCCCGTGCGCTATCGGATGTCGGGCAAGGACGATATTCTCAAGTCCCAATACGATGAGTACGAGGTCATCTACGACACCTATAGCGCAGGACCCGTAGATTCTCGTGCTTTCGAAGTGACGTCTGCGACGAGTGAGTATACGAGGCCTACAGTCGCCAATTCGCTTGGGCCAAAGCCCCTGGAGATTCTACCAGGAAGCCGCATGCGCTACTACGATGATGTTTCGGAACTCCGCAGGTCAACCTTGCCTTGAGAGCTCGGAAGCTCCAGAACCGTCGGTCCCTCTGTTCTTCAATCCGATCCAAGAATTCGTCCGCCACAATGCTTCACACGTGGATGAATACTTCGCCAAGTTCAAAAAGCATCACGGGAAGGACTACCGATTCGCGGCTGAAGAGAGACAACGACGCCACAATTTCCGCCACAATGTTCGTTACGTGAATTCGATGAATCGACGGAACCTTTCGTATGCTCTCAAACTGAATGAACGCGCGGACTCGGCCCGTGAGGAGCTCGGGACCCACGGAGGTTGCTTGCGCCGCGCGAGTCGTCGATTCTTCGGGCGAGATTTCTCACCCGAAGAATGCCGCAACGACCAAATCTTGCCTGATCATGTGGACTGGCGTCTCGAAGGGGCTGTCACGCCAGTCAAGAACCAGGGCACCTGTGGGTCCTGTTGGAGTTTCGCTGTGATTGCTCATCTCGAGAGTCAGTACTTTTTGAATAATGGGAAGGAAAACCTGACGCGCTTCTCAGAGCAGCAACTTGTGGATTGTTCGTGGGATTTCTCCAACACTGGATGTTCCGGTGGCTCAATAGAGAGTGCTTTCTCCTACGTCAAGGAATATGGGCTGTTCACAGACGAACAGTACGGCCCCTACCGCGAAGAGGAGGGCAAATGCAGAGACACCGTCACTGGGACTGAGCCGACGATATCCACTCTGGAAGGCTTCAATGCGATCGGTGGAAAAGAGTGTCTACGCAATTACATCGCGTTGAAAGGTCCGATAGCGGTCGCGATCGATGCGAGCTCGCCATCGTTCGTCTATTACTCTCATGGAGTTTACAAAAACCCCGCTTGCGGTCGTGATTTGAACCACGCCGTTCTCGCGATCGGCTATGGAGAGCTGAACGGCGAGCCCTACTGGCTGATAAAAAATTCCTGGGGGGATATTTGGGGCTCGGAAGGCTTCATGCTCATCTCGCAGGAGAACAATACCTGTGGAATCGAAGACGAGCTCTCCTACGCAGATCTGTAGGATCGCTGCGATCCGATTCAAAAATCATCTGGTGTGCTGGATGTCTGATCCAAAGCAGACTGAAAATTTTTGCGAAAAATAAAAATCATAGCAACTAGGTTTCGTTGGTTTTTTTTTCACAATCCTCAGGAAGCAAAGCATTCCCTCCAGCCGGATAGAAATTCTCTGTCGTTTCGTCACTCGGGGAAAAGTATCACTAATAAACCTCACGTTTTCTCCTCTAGTCTCCGATCTCTGATTGTCTCCCGATTGTCTCCGGGGAGGAAGGACGAGTTACAGGCGCTCGTGCCTTCTTGAGACTATGTGTTCGAGGATTCCCAAGAGAAGACTTGATCGCGGCTGCACGATCACCCATCGCGAGCGCTGAGACCCATTGAAAAAAGATCAATGTCGCGCCACGAACTTACTACGGATGGATTGGGAGAAAGTGAATTCGAGCAACGGTTCCCCAGACCTGGGACCGATTGCAAAGCTCAGGAAAATCCTGAGCGAGGCGTCGCCCTGCGGTCATGCTATCCGATCACTATGTCGCCCGGGGAGCCAAGACGCCAGATTCATCGATCACAAGGGCCATCACCTGATGAATCATGGCGGAGCTCCGCAGTGTAATAGGAGCTCTGGTAAACGGGAAAGTAATTTCTTTCCGAAATTGATTCGCTCCGACGAATCTGGGATTCCTCCTCCAACGTCGTATCTACCTCACCTGCTCGAATAGTCAATGAGGATCTATGGGAGCTTCTTCTGATCTATCCGGAGCGCAAAATACACGATTCGTGGCGTCATGTCGGCTCCATTCGGCCCCCCGGATTCTTTAGAAATGTTGCGAATCTGTGCAAAGGAAGAGCAGGGACTTCGTATCGCAAGCCCATTATGATCGATCCGTGCTGGATCCGTATTCGAAGGGGTTCGAATCTCTCAGAAATCCCAGAAATCGGAAGGGCACACTCTGCAGCGAGAATCCTATCGTCCGCTCATGGCCTGAGACGATTCCGACTCGCTCCCCCTCTTGACCGAGCGTCCAATGACGCGTGGGTCCCAATAGCTGCGGGTTGAAGGATGACGCGGATCTTGAATTCACAATATTTCGGAAGTTTGTTCCCCTTCGCCAATACCTGTCAGATATCGAGATCGGACAGCAAATCAGAGCGACTCCGAATCTACATCTCGCTCTTATTGCGTCAAAATTAAATACGAATTCGCCGTAATTTTCGTAGAAATCGATGAATCAATCGGTCTCGATCGTTTACCGCCTCATTTCGGACTAGATATCGAGGAATTCAATAAACTCTCCTTCTCACACGGAACGCCAGTTCTCGGAGGCTGCCTCTATAGACGGCTGCCCTATCCGATATAAGCGGGAGCGAGCTTACGCTGAGGATCCACTCGAAGCTCAATCGCGGGCCGGTCATGACTACTTTGGTGCTCGTATTCGTTCTCGCTATCATCAAGCTCTCCGGCAAGTACCTATCTGCGAGCTACTCGTTAGAAATCGGGTCAAACCAAGTTTTTCACGAACTCATGAACTCGCAATCCCCTCACATTAGATGTTGCAAATGCCGATGAGGAGAGTTTCACGTGGACGCGGGAGTTCTCCGCCACGGGATATATAATCAAACCTTCAAATGGAATACGGAAGCCGTTCACGATTTACCATGACGAGGAAGGATCCAGATCACGAGTGGACTACTACGGGGGTGAAATAAAACGCATCTGGACGGGTTCCCTCTTCTACAAATTGCTCTGGACAACCAACTCTAGTACGCATGTGCCCGAGCAGTCATGCTTCTACTATGGAGCGCATCTAGGACTACTTTCTTCGATATACGACGTCGTTCCTCCCATGGGACATCTCAAAAGCGCACGCACTGAACCCTGCGATACGGACACGACCACAATTTATGCTTCAGTCGTCTTCAGCAATCTGAGCTGCCATCGATACGAGATCGAGTATTTTCCATTCAAACAAGTTTTCTGGACCACTAAGTGAGTACGATGATATTGATCGAGTAAGAAGATACGATCGTATATTCAGTCGACATGCCAGATACCGGAGTAGGGTGCGGATGACATAGTGCGCCTCCCATCGTAGAGATTTGGGAAATGAAAACAAGGTGACACCTGTTCGAATAATGGACTACTGGCCGGAGAAGGAAGAGGTCATCTTCCTGAGTTACACCGCTGGCGAACTGGACGATGAAGTCTTCGATGTTGGGCTCCTGACCGGTGAGTGGATGAGGCGGCCGACAGCCACCCCACTCGACAAGTCTGAGCCTTCGTTCCAGATCATCCGTTACTAAAGATCGAATAACAACGGTATCTTCTCCCATGGCAGATCTGGGCAAATGTGAAGAGAGATCTGAATGATCCTCACAACTAGGTCGCGGCCCTCACGGGAACTTCGATACGAAAAGAGCGGAGCTCCCACCGTACCGCAGCAGTCCCTCAATTCTCCTAAGTTTCGGCTCTTTCGAATCCTTTTCAAGTCTAAGACGCAGAGATCCAATGGAATTTTGGATTTTGGGTCTCAGTCTGAAAACAGACCCTCGTATGCCCGAGTGCAGGAATCTACGGAACACCGCGAGCATATCCCCATCGGTCATTTGGCCGCCCACCGAAAGCGTCTAAGGATTTCAGCCGGTACAAAGTTCATGAGCTCCTCCGGAGTTATTCCTCGACTCATTCGAGAGGTCAGTTCCTCTGCAGCTCTTGCCGACGAGTCCTCGCAGCTCGAGAGCTCCCGTCAAATACTCGTCGAGGCGACGTTAAACCCTCGTACGGCAGGTAACTTCAGGCTAATAAAGATTATTTGAGACATTGCGCCGGAAAACTTTTTCCTTTTGACTCTCTGAGGGGGGAAAAGGCCTGAGGCTGTGGAATAGGCCAAGGGAAAAATGAGGGCCAGCTTGGACGCCTCCCTGTCTCCGCAGCTCACTGGCTCGTGAGATCAGGTCGGAGAGGTATCAGGCGCGAAACCTCTAGCCGTTCGCAATGAGGAAAGTCGCCGGCGAACCGATGTTCCATATCGATACTCCTCGGTTTTGTCGTCTCGAGTGAATCCAATAATGCCTGGTTGGATCGGCAAAGAGATTATCAGTGTCACAAGTGATCGGCTCGACCCATTCCGCCTCCAGGAAGCGTACGATAGCTGCTCGTTCGAGTAAGGGATCGAGCATTTCCTCCCGTTCTATGGATACGCCGGATATCCATAGGAACCAGATGTTACGCATCGGTGGAAAACTCTCCATCGACGGTGCCCGCTTCCTATGAAGAACGGAAAGCAACCCCGCAGCTATCCGCGGCATCACGTTCGGAGCGACCTCCGTTCCGAGCGTTCAAACCTTGAGAAGTGAATCGCAAGGAGGAAGATACTTTGAAGACCTCTAGGAGTCAGTTTGGGGCGAGAAACAAGGCTCTCGAGAGTTCGAAGTCTCACCGAGGATCGGATGCGCCTCATGTCGTGTCTGGAAGGCCGTTAGAGGGCGCTATGCCAGACAGCACTTTCAGGTGGATGTCTCAATAAGCAGTGCAAACTTTCTCCATTTCCATCGGAAGGTTCTAAAAGAAAACCACACTGTCAAATCTCAGCGTGCCCTCTCTTACGAGTGAGAACGCTTCCCAATGCGCTGTGCAAGAGCGACCTAGCTATATAAAGATTGAGAATCGCTCGCGGAAAAATAAGTGAGCGATGTTGCTTCGCGTGATTCCTGTGGTCGCTCTCGCGATCGTCTCCGTCGGTGAGTGAATCCAAAAATCTCGTTTGTGATTCGTTGGACACGGCTTCAACTACGTAGTGCGGTGATTAGAACTCACGGATCGCAGTGACATGATTGACCAATGCAAACAGTCAGCCAGTGATTGTCACCTTGTCCGGCAGCCTCCATGATTATTCTACGGGATCATAAGAGGCTCGGTGGAACCTTCCTAAATCGACTCGATTCCGATTCCAAAGCTATCCGGCGCAGAGGGGCAGATCCAGAAAGATTTCCCTGACCCCGGAGAAATCCGAGCCTGTCCATTTTCTCGGAGCGAATTCTAGGCTCTTGGTTACGAATCAGAATGTAGGGACACGGAGAGCAGGGATAGGAGCTGTAATTGGAGCTGAATGCAAAGTGGTCACTGATTCGATTGCCGAAAGATGGCTCCTCTTCAAACCACCAGTCCAAAGACCGGTACTCTAATCAGATGGGAATTCTTCACTATCACCGATAGAAGGATTAGTTTCGCTAGTCGAATGGGAACGCGATCCTCGAGTCGAGATGGTCGAATCAATTGACCCGAAAGGAAATTTTCTCGATCCATTTCAACGACACCGAGGGCGATTTCGACCGATTTCGGAATGCAGCGAATAAACGAGAGAAGACCCCATATTTGAAAACTCAGACTTGATGCCACGCCTGGTAGAGATATTCCGCGAATAAACTAAGAGCATGTTTTCCTCCGTCAGCTGGGGGGCCGGCGAACCCACGCGATGCACCGGTATTCCCTCCAGCCTACGCGGCGAGCGGCTATATCCTGTTGCCGTACTGCGAACTGAGGGAACCCTTCACCGCCTATTACGATAAGACCGCCGGAAAGTCCCGCATCGATTACTATGGAGGCGAGATGAAAACCTTCCAGATCGCGGGGGAGACGGGAGGCTCCTACAAGGTGGTCTGGTCCCCCAACAACGAAACGCATGTCCCAGAGCAGAACTGCTACGCAGCGGGTCCGGCGGCGCCACAAGGCATTCTACCCGACCTAAGTGACTTCAAGTTCGTTCGCACCGAGTCCTGCTTCACCGATACGTCAACCCTATTGAACACATTGCTCTCTAACGCCGCCAAATGTTATCGTTACGAGAACACGGTACAGAAATACGATCGCGTTTCGAAATATGTCTTCTGGGCCAATCAGTGAGTATTTCGGTCGATAACACCTTCGAATCCCGCCGGCTTGATAATCTCCTCACTCAAGAGATTACCCTTCTTCCTCTAGGGATGGAGATAACAACGTGATCCCTGTACGCTACATGATGATGGGATACGATTCGTTGCTCGGATCCCACTTCGATAAATATGAGGTCATCTACGACGACTACACCCCCGGTCCTGTCGATGGGGACGTTTTCGACGTCACTTCCGTGATCGGTGCGTATTCTTTATTCCGAGCTAGTGTCCGGCGATTGCCATAACTCGCCCCAGATTCCGGAGGGTCATTGGAATTTTTGCTTCAATACAGATAAGCCGTGCACCGATTTCCCTTCACCTCCCGGACAATCCGTATCGCATCTCTTCAATCCAATGAAGGAATTCGTGCATCACGACGATTCTCACGTCGATGAGCATTTCTCCAACTTCAAGAACGAACACGGCAAGTCCTACGAGCACCCGACCGAGGAACGAGAGCGACGTCACAACTTCCATCATAACATGCGCTTCGTGAACTCGATGAACCGAAGGAATCTCTCCTTCGCTCTCAAGCTCAACAACCGCGCAGATTGGAATCAGGGCGAGTTCAAGCTGTTGAGAGGTCGTCTGCAGTCCACCAACGTCAAGTCGAGCGCAGAAGATTTCCCGAAAGAGAAGTTTGAGCACCGAACCGTTCCCGATTACGTCGATTGGCGTCTCGAAGGAGCTGTGACTCCGGTCAAGGATCAGGCCATCTGCGGTTCGTGTTGGAGCTTCGGAACCGTGGGTCACATCGAGGGACAGTATTTCCTCAAGCACGGAGAGCTGGTCCGATTCGCGGAGCAACAGCTAGTCGATTGCTCTTGGACATCCGGAAACGACGCGTGCGACGGTGGTTTGGACTACGTCGCCTACGACTATATCAAGAAATACGGTCTGTCGTCTGATGCTCAGTACGGCCCCTACCGCGGAATCGATGGCAAGTGCAAAGACGTAGAAATCGAGAATAAACCCATCACGACCATCCAACGTTACTATAACATCTCGGGAGTGGAGAACCTGCGCAAAGCCATTGCCTTCGTCGGACCCATCTCTGTGGCAATCGATGCTTCGAGACCTTCCCTGAGTTTCTATGCGCACGGGGTCTACGAGGACCCTGACTGTAGTTCCACCGAGCTCGATCACGCAGTACTCGCAGTCGGGTACGGAGTGCTCCACGGGAAGCCCTACTGGCTCATCAAGAATTCGTGGTCCACCTACTGGGGAAACGATGGGTACATCCTAATATCTCAGAAGGACAACATGTGCGGCGTGGCGTCTACGCCAACCTACGTCGAATTGTAGAATCCTTGCTGGAAATTTCAATCCTGATCAAAGTCCAATCGAATGGTGGTGTCGGATCCACTTCCAAGGAGTTAGAGCATCTTCGAGAACAATTCAAGTTTTCGACATTTTCAAATTTAATAAATAGCGATTTATTACCGTACCAAGTCGACATGATGTTATTCCTCCATAATCCTCCGTCTATGTACATAACATGATCTCAGTGTCAATGCGTTTCAATCATGATACTCGTAAGTGATCATGAACACTCTCTCAGGTTGTTGCACTCATTCGGTCACTTGATTTTCCATTTATTATCAAGATGAAATATTCACCGAACAAAATTTCCCCGTATACGTCCTGCTACAACGAGACACATTTCGCGTCCGGAGCATTCTCGCCTCGGCCTCATCCGCTCACGGGAACGGACAAAGCCATTGGCGAGATTACTCCGTCCACGTTATTGGTATTGCTGCTGCTACTCTCCCACTCTCTCGTTCACCTCCCCGGACCCCTTCGTTCGACGGATACTCCATCTTGACAACGTCAATCCGTTCCAGCATCCGTACGATAAGACTCGATGGAGTCGACATCCCGATACTTCAATCACTTGACTCGATTTGCCGGTGCTGCTAATCTTAACTATCGATTCGGAACTCGGCTCTGATCCTCGCTGCTGAACACGCGGTCGAGTTTGTGCCGATTCATCGAGCAGCGAATCAATCTGCAACAATTCTAAATCAACTACCAACTCAAGTCTACCCAGGTCAAGTTTCCTTGTTTGTTCTTGTCGTCATCCTGCTCGTCCTTCGGAAAAGCCGCTCGTCGTGTGGGTTGCATTGGAATCTGTATCCTTGGTTTTTTGCTGCAGCAATAGCTCCCGCATTGGCAGTTGATTGGCGGAAAGAATGTGGCGACAGTCGAGTCGTTACGATTTCGAGCGATTGTGTCCGTCCGCGTCGCTGATCTCTTCTATCGAGCGATTTCCCGTTCCGGGAGAATTAGTGCGCTGGAACCTCTCACTGGGGAGGCGGGTTTGCCGAATGCTGAGGCGTGCTTTGGGGCGAATCTGTGATGGGTTTGAGCTCCCGGATCTGCCGGATAAGATAGGCCTTCTCATCATTGAACTGCTCGTCGTCGGCGCGATCCGTGTGGAATCTGGGGAGAAGAAGATTGACGATCGATTATTTCACTAGAGCGGTCCCAGATGCGTCAAGTTGAGAGTTCTCCTGCCATTATCCGCGATGATGAGCTTGCGCCAGGGACTCTCAGATGGAAGCAATTATCGTATTTTCTCGCTTTGGGGGGCGTGCTCTGATCGGCGGCCACCTCCTGTGGGCATCGAAAAATTAAGGCGCATCCCACGATCCGGATGTGAAATCGCAGATGACGTGTGGTGCACATACATAACTAGATATACTATGATCGATGAGATACGTAATCCGTATTCATGCTTCATCGTCCACAACCCGATAACAATCGCGCTTCTCCCGTCTTAGCTCGACTGAGCTGAGAGGGAGTCCGATCTTCCTTTCGCTTATTCGGAAATTCGGAGGGCATGCTCCAATCGAAGTGACCCCACGCATAAGCAGAAAAATTGTCGGGCATGCCCTCCTATCGGAGGAAATACGGTTCGCACATCACGTTCTCTGACTGAGAGCTCTTTACTCCTGAACAGAGGCGAAACAGACCCTGTATCGAGCGATTCATTGCTGGGAAAGCACGAGAGACGATAATCAATAATCACCTTGTCAAGAAATCGACGAGCTTGTCCCTATTCCGGAGAAGGATATCGAGAATAGGTCGAGGTTTGTTTGGGTTGGCAACAAACACCTTGAACACATGAAAGGCTTCGAACTGAATGTTGCGAGAGCGATCTCTGAGCATCATCATCATCAACTTCAGGTTATCCGCCGACGAGATATACCTGCGGAGGGATTAGGGAAAAACAGGGGGTTAGGTCCCCGCTGACGATCTGATTCAGAGCGATCAATTCACTCGCTGTAGATGAGCAATGATCGAACATGCAAGGTGGCTGGCCGACTTATTTTGGCCCATCGATTGCCGTGACAATTACTCATGCCGACGTCAACTCACTTGGTCATGATGTTGAAGTTGTGCCGGTCCAGGAGGAGCTCGCCCAGCAGTTTCAGAGACTGTCGCTTCGTTACGTAGTTGTCGCTATTCAACAGGGCTTGGTAATGCGAGAAAACCTGTTCATAACTCGTTTCCAAAAACTCGGCCGACAAAACCTGCAAAGAATGGCGAGGGACTGTGAGTTAGGCGCAGGGCAATGGGAGGGTGACTCGATTTCAAGTTTTTGTCGGAGATCGCAAAGGTCTCCCATCGATGTCCGACCGATAAGTTAGGAGGAAACTTGAGATCGAGGCATTGTGACGAACCTTGTGACGTGTCAGCAGCTCCTTAAACGTTGAGAAAGCATCTGATGCGATGTCGAACGACGAAGACTCGATATAGCTAAAGAATTTATAAAAATCTTCGGAATACAAAATAACTTTGGCGAGACTCTCGTGCCTGGCGCACTCCCGCAGCATTCCGCCGCAGTTTAGCGCAATGTCCTGCTTTTCGTATCCTCCGATCAGGATGAACAGGATCTGTGGCTTCACGAGAATGTACTCCACTGTGGGAAATCTCTGTCCGATCTGTCTTCTCAGGATATTGTTGAAGATCAAGGCGACATCTTTTTTGCCTTCGAAATCGATCTTTTGGAGACTCTCGATTAGTGAGAGCAGTAGGTTCGAATTGTATAATTCCTGCAACGGATAAGAACGATCTCGTTAGATTCATAGTTACCCCACGGTTTTCTGATAGAGCTCCTCGGAGAACTCAAATTTTATTCGAGGGCTCAGGAATGTGGACAGTCCCCTTGAAAAATCTGTCATCGATAAACAATCGACGGAGCTCGACGGAAGCCGTTGAGCACAAAGCGAGAGATCGGTCTACTGAAAGGGGAAGAGCTCCCCCTATCGCCATGATTTTCCAGAGAACTAGTCTGACCGGACGGGTTCGCAATCAGATGCAAATTGATCACTGTATCGGCCAATCTGATAGGAAGCTGCTTTCCCGGAAGACTCACGAGGCCATTGATTGAGAGTGTTTTCATCTAGAAGCCGTAAAGTGATCTTTTCAACGGAGACGCGCATGACGCTATATGTTGACATGACCACTTCAACTTCCGTTTCCAGAGCTACGGAAAAACGCTAGCTGTCCACTCAAGAGCGGACACTCACAGATAAATTGTACGGAACCGCGCATAGACCCTGGTGACATTATTATAACCATAACGAAGCGAGCATCAACTGCTCTCGGGAGACGCAATCATGGATGACATGTACGCTACCGATGCTACGGCTGGCGATCGGGATTGATCAACGAACTAATTGAGCATCTGCTGATCTCTGCCTAGTTTATGCCGAATGAGTAGATGCAGCCAGCGAGCCGAGCAACCGGTCTTCTTGCCGATGACCAGGCTGGCAAGCGAGGGAGCAAACAGGCAGACGGGCTGGCAGGAAGGCGACAGCGATGATGCGTCGCCTCAATTTCACGACGACATTACGCTCAACCGGTCACGGCGTACTCGACCACGTGAGGGGAAGTCCGCTCTTCCTCCTGGAAGCATGGCGGGGCTAACGGAGGACAGATTCATTGCTCTCTATCTCTTTGTTCCGAGCGGAACGATATTATATCCATCATGAGTCCGGACGCTAGCAGCAATGACAGCGGTACCCGCAGAGAATAACTCATTGAATATCACTGCAGCGAGACACACGAGTCCACAGGCAAAACACATAGATCAAGTGACTCGTCAGACACATACAAATACTATTCCGAATCCCGGAATGATCAATCGTGCCGCTGGCGTCTACACTGGGGACAGCGCGTGAATATCCCAGACTAGTCCCGCAGAATGAATCGCCGAGGTGATGGTCAACTCATAAAACTCGAGCGGACGAGGCGTCTGAACTCAAAGCGAGCCCTGACAGTCGCCACGACGAATATAGCAGCATCCAATAGAGCTGTACACTGGCCCCCGGACAACTCTGATTGCAGGTCTCCAGAGGTTCGGTGTCGAAGTCATTTTCGATTTGGCGTGAGAAGGTCTCATTCCGGTAGAATGGCCAAAATCTCTCGCTCAGCCCGCAATGAACGGCCGAGATATACGCGTCAGGAGAGACTGGCAGAAGGAGTAACACATGATTTGAGCGTTCTCAACAGTCGACCGATCGTCTCTAGAACGTTGAATGGATCTGCCGCTAGACGAATGAACCTTCACTTCTTCCACTGCTGCTACCGCCGCCGCCGCCGCCGCCACCAACACCACCACGGCCACCGGCGCCGCCGTCGCGGTCGTCGTCTTCCAACGCAACGTTGGGTGGAGCTGCGCCGGGTCAGCCGGCAGTCTAAGAACAACTATTATAAATGGCTCCAAAAATCCTCCCTAAAAAAGAATGATGATTATCTACGAATGAAGAAGAGGAAGTGGAGGAAGTTCAGCAGTCGGCAAAGCCGCGCAGGAAAATGACTACCCACGCGACGCTAACTTCCACAACTCAGACTCTGCCTCGTAGTTGAGAACTCCCGACAGCGGGGCGAAACCGGCGGGAACGAGTCGCAAGAATGGGATAAAAGTTTCAGCCACGAGCTCCGGATATGGATACCCTTGGAAAAAATAAAGATTCCGCGCGTCTCCATCGAGAATTTCGGCTCCAATGAGTGAGTCTCCTCCCAGCATCCAGTGGATTTTTCGGAATCCTACCTGAGAGAGAGTTCAACTACGGAACCTCTCCAGAAATAGCGCTGTGAGAGAGTCAAGTGCGATAGGTCGATTGCAGTGAGATTCAAAAATTTTTCAATGAACTCGTTAGTCTTCGCGCAGCGCTTCCACGGGTGTATTTTCGGGTAGTCGAAGATCTCTTGGCACAAGAAAGTTAGGTAGATGATCATAACTCCGTTTCCGATCATCTGAACTCCACCGTTCCCGCTTCCGCTCGCTGCCGGTAAAGACATCACATCAGACACAGCGGAGAGTGACAAGTGGCATGCACCATCAGAGCGCGGTGGTCATTCGACTTTCTCCTGCCCCATTGATCGAGTCGGATGCATCATAGTCATCACTCGTTATCCATGACCAGAGAGGATTCGTTGGATCGGGATAGAGCTACTGATGACCGTCAGACGATGAATACGCGACCGATCGATGAATGAACGGAGGACCACGCGAAAAGAACAACTGGCACCAGTCAGAGAATTCTGACAACGAGTGAAGTCGGTCCGCGGCTGCTTGTCAGCAGGCGGTCATTCAGCATTCTGAACGATCGGTTTCCGTCAGACGTGATCTGTAGTTTGCCCTCAGATCGTCGTCCTGTACCTTTCAGTTCGTCACAGTCTACCTCTACCCTTCGCCGTTCTCAGAGTGTGTGTGCTCGTCGTCTGTCGGTTTACTCGTTTTTGACGACGACCGACGTCTCCGTGCGAGTAGGGGTGGATTTTCGTAACTACCACTGAGCACTGCTGGGCCATGAATGAGTTCCGGCGAGTCCATTGGAGAAGACTGATTCTCACCGTTGACCGAGTTCACACTAAAAAATACATGGGCTAGCGACAAGGAGTTTGTACTTTGATTACCTGGGCAAGCTGCGAGATGACCATATCAGTCTGAGGCTCTTGTTCAGGTGAGCCGTAGAGCATTGTCTTCATTTGGTTAAGATTCTTGCTGACATCCTCCTGAGCCTTTTCGGCTTTGCGATCTCCGGCTTCCAAAGCTTGAACTGAATCCCGCAGAGCTTTGACAAGCTCGGCAGGATTTTTTTGGGACTTGCCGAACAGAGGCATCGCAGCGTTGTTGTTGTTTTTGGTGCTGCTGCTTGGGCTGTTGGTAGTGGCCAAGTGTTAGGATTTGTGGTTTATGTGGTAGCAGTGGCGGCGCGCAGACGAACTTCATGAGGAGGAGAAGGTTGAGGTGGAGCGACAGACGCGCGAAACTCCGAATTCCAGGCGAACCGATGAAACCAAGGAACTGGGCGCTCAGTACTCATCATCCGATGAGTTCCCGGAGGGCGCGGCAGAGGACCGTCTCCGTCCCAAAGGACCGAGAGCCGATTTTGCTCGGATCGGAGTCGCGACCGCAAGGTCGAAAAAGGAAAGAGCAACAGCAGGCAATGAAGCCGGAAAGCATGTCCAAGAGCAGACGAAACGACACAATCGCGTTGGGATCTACCCGGGGTCCGTCCGGGTCGCGAAAAAACATTCGGAGTGCGCGTTGTGCGGTTCGGCCTCAGCTGGTGAGGGTTCCTTTCTCAAGAGAGTATCCGCTCATCGCTCATATCTCTTAGAGACGAGACCGGTGGGATCGGCTGCTTTCGCGGAACCGAGCTGGCGCCCGAACCCACTAATCTCCGTGGTCGGGATATCACGGGCCCGAACATTGCTCGATCCGATTGAGCATCGCGCTGATACTGGAACCTCCGGACTGCTAGAGACTGAGACTTCTCGCCGTGTCTCGCCGAACGTGAATCATGGCTATTGTGGAATGGTGCGAGGTTCAGCGTTTGTTCCATCCCCATTATTTGTTGACAGTTATCTTGGCCACTATTTTCTTTCCTCTGCGGATATGTGCCCCAGTGTGCGAAATCCTTTTCCCGGATAAGGGATGTCAGCTCGACTACAGAGAGACCGAGATTCTATTCTTCCTGATCATCGTCATCCTTTTTCGTACACGGAAATTGGCCACCACTTCACTCGTGCCCTACGTCAGCGCGGCCTCTATGTACACTAAAGTAGCAATGGTCATTCTCTTCTTCTACAACGATGTTCGCTACGGGATCATTTACTCGATCGTTTGCATCGTCCACCTGATGGTGTTTCCCGAACCGACCTACAGCGGACCCGACGTAGCGGTTTACTTCACCTCGCAAACCCTCGAAGAAGAATTGCAAAAGGATAAACGTGTCGTATGGATCGTGGAGTTCTTCGCGCTGTGGTCGCCCCCTTGCATCAACTTCGCATCAGACTTCAGGAGGATCTCCGCAAAATATACATTAGAAAACTTGCGCTTTGGCAAAATTGATGTGACTAGGAATCCCGAAGCCGCCGCGAAATACCATATCAACACGTCGGCCTTATCGAAACAGCTCCCGACACTTATTATGTTCAAAGATGGGAAAGCCCTGATGCGTCGACCCACCGTCGATTCAAAGTCCAAGCTGGTAAAATTCAACTTCTGCATCGAGAATATTGTGAACGAATTCGACCTCAACAATCTCTACAATGAGCTCAAGAACGACAAGATCAATAAGAAGGCAGCGAAGCAGGAAGGATCAAAGAAAACGAATTGAGCGATTTCTATTCAATTGAAGGGAGGCTTTGCTGGGATCCGGGGAGCTAGGAATGGGAATCTGATCACTGCCAGTTTCTTCCGCATGGTCATGTACGGTAGATTGAGTTTGAGGGAAGGAACGCCAAGGATCCCCGGAAGCTCGGTGCTGCTGAGAGGATCTCGGTTCCGTGCAGTATATGTAGCATCGTACGACATTCGGTTTCGGTATCGACGCAGGATGTTCGAGATTTCCTCACTCAGAGCAGTGTTCATGATTGGTGTGTTCGTCGCCCTGTGAGGAGATAGATCAGGAGCTTTCATCGATACATTTTGCTATCTATCCTTTGCTCCAGCTTCTCTTAGGTGGAGTTTTCGCTGATAAAATCTCATATATGAGCATTAAAAGTCCTGTCCTGAGGAGAGTGAACGAAAGAGTGAAAGGTTCGACGGATAGTTTTCTACACGTTCGATGAGAGTTGTAATAAAAACTATAGTTGGATTCTTCACCTCGATCTTTATTGCGACTTCGTCGCTCAAGTTTACGGAATCCAAGGGCAATATTCCGGGGAGGTCCAGGAACAAGGGTCGGCTTCCGTAGGCTCATCAGCTGTCTCGATGAGGATATAGCCCTCGACTTTACGGATTATTGAGAGACTTTTGCACCGGTAGTCGATGTGAGCCAGAAAGCAGTTCAGCCTCCAAGAGTCAAGGTCACAAGGAGCAGTCGTCTCAACTACGGAAATGCCTCCAGAGGATGGGCGATCAACAGCTGCGGCCATATGGTCTCTGCCTCGACCCGAGCCAAATCTCCCGGGCTCAGAGACCTCTGTTCCCGAGATGAAGGCATTCTCACAGTCTATGACATGTGCCGAGCTTCACTTTGAATATGTTCTCCGCGCTTTCCGCGAGCATTGCCATCACGGAAGATTATAGCCCCAACATGGAGCTCTACCGAAATAGTTCTGAGTCTCACGAGCCTTTCGGATCAGGCCCTCTAGGATTCACGGCGGCGAATGCCGTGGAGAGCTCATGTTTTCTTCGAGAAAAGGCGGCTCATGTCGGTGAGGTCGAGATTCTGCGACGACGCGAAGCCTCCCTACTTCGAACTCCATTCTTTACTCTCTGCCCTGACATGCCCTGATGCCTGATGGTCGTCTCTTCCCTCGCCAAAGAGCTGCGAATTTCTCGCGGATCGCGATCTCTCCAAGACTTTCCGCGGTATTCCTTGGCTTTTCTCCACGGAGTACCAATGAGGCCGAGATTTATTATTTATCCCGCGAATTCCCGCGGGATTATTCGGCTTTCCCCCACAGAGTACCCATTGAGGTCGCGAATTCCGCGGTTTCCGCAAAAAATCTCGAGCCTTATTTATTAGGCACCCGGAAATAGGCTCACCAGAGGTGCTACCAGCGTCGGTTCGGGGTGGTGCCATCACGAAGCTTCGATTACCTTTCATCCTCCCATGCCCCCATGAGATATCTGAGCGAAGAAATTAATCGGCTGGTGAAACTCTTCATTGATACATGAGAAATTATTCTGAAATTTCAATGGGACTCGTTTTTATCTGTTTACGACTGCTTTCATCGATAACGCTCGTCGTTTCAAGCGCATGCGGTCCGCATACGAAGCACCATCCAATATTCGGAATCATTGTGGATTCAATTCCATGACAGCGATGAATCGGGCCACCAAATATAGCGACCAGGTCTGTAGAAAGCTGCACTGCTCATGAGCGATATACACCGCGTCAATCATTATCCAGCAGACTTGATCGAATGTCCGAACCTGGAAGTTCTAGTTAGAGGGACTCACCCCCTGACTCACCACCCGGTGACAGAGGAGGAAGGAGCGAGCAGGGAAAAAGTGGTGCTCGCTATGGTGGTACAGCTCTAATTGTAACTTCCGGGACACAAGACGAATATCCTACAATGACTTCGTCGTGACAATTTGTGAAACAGTTCGCAGCCGGGGGACTGATGCGTTTAGCCGCGCGTGTGTCTGTCGCAAGGGCGCGCTCTTCCTCCGCTGTCAAGGTTTGTCTTCAGACGTCTGATAAAAAGGCATCCGCAGACATCTGCCGGTCGCAAACAGATTGGAACATGAAGATTTTCGTTGTGATCGTCGGCTGCGCGGTCGCCGCGAGCGCGCAGTATCATCCAACTCAGCAATACGTCTCGAGTGCAGGCTCCTACGCGAGCCCCGTCGCGACTCAACAGGTCACCTACGCCGCTCCGGCCGCCCAAACCGTTTCCGGTCAGGTGGCTTACGCTGCGGCTCCAGCCACCGTTGCTGCCCCGGTTGCTGTAGCTGCTGCCGCCCCTGCACCCCAGCCTCGTGTTCACACGATCCACACCCACAGCTCCCGCCAACAGATCCGTTTGGAAGAATTCAACGCTCCCCATCAAGTTATCCGAGTGCATGAAGCTCCCCAGGCCGCACCCCAAGTCCTACATGTACGAGCTCCGGCTTCACCACAGTCAATCGTGAGAGTCATCTCGCGCTCTTCGGGCCCCGCTCACGTTGAACGTGTCGTACATCAAGCTCCGGGTGTTCAGGTTATCAATGTTCATCGCCCGCCTCCCCCAGCTGCGCGTATCGTTCAAATAGTTCGCGCTCCCCCGACTCCCCCGCGCATCCTCTTCCACCAGGAAGCCGATGCCCACGCTGAACTCCGAGTTGAAGCTCCGCAAGCTCAAGCGCCCCTGGTTGCTCCAGTACAAACCGTGGCTGCTCCCCTCCAAACGGTATCCGCTCCTCTTCAAACTGTGGCCGTCTCCGCACCTGCCATCCGAACCGTAGCCGTAGCCGCACCTGCCATCCGAACCGTAGCCGTAGCCGCACCTGCGATCCGTACTGTAGCTCTTGCCGCTCCCGCTGCTCAGACGGTAGTAGCTTCAGCCCCCGCAACATCTGTGATTAATGCTCCAGTTCCTGTCGGCGTGGGCTACACCATGTACGGTGTAGGCTACGGACGCGTGTACGCCCGACAATTCTCGGCCAGAGCCTCGAGAGCCTCAGCGTAATTCGTCTTTGCTTCGTAATTCGTTCTGAGATCTAAAGGCTGGATGAGCAGTGGAGAAGCTCCACTCAGAGTGTCAATTTAGGAGGTATGATATAAGAACCGGAATAAAAGAAGAACTGTATTTATTTGAATCACCTGGACGAACTCTCTGTCCTGCTATTCTGCAATCGAGGAAACCCTTGAATCTAGTCCGAGCCGCATAGAATATATGAATATTGAAGGCTGAAGATGTTTATTCTGAATTTCCGGTACGCTGTGCCCTCCTCAATTTGTACGCTCCCGAACCGATCGGCTTCCGAATGCTTTGGAAGGTCGGCGTTTGAAATATCTGGAATCGATCCGCTTGGATGCGACGCGATGAGCGGTCTCAGGATTTCCGCGCAAACATCAATCGTCTCCCGTGGAGCATCTGCCTTGCCTCATTTCGACCCGGTCCAGCGAATTCAGCCTCCTTCCCGAAGAGAATGCCGTTTTGAATATCCATAATCAAGCATTTTCTTCTGATTCCGTGTTTGGAGTCTCGTCCCCGGAGCTTATTGAATTTTGTATTCGCAGGTCCTTAATGTCGGCTCGTATAGGTCTACTCAGCCAACGTCATTCAGGTAACATAGACTCGCTGTTCAGCCAGCCAGCCTCCCTCAACATTGCATTCGCAAGAAAACTCAGAGGCGAAAAGCTGATCGTTCCCGGATATCAGTGATTGCGCCGGATAAAACGTTAGATGCGACTGAAACTTGAACCCGCTTCTTTATTAACGACGTTGCAACAATCGATAATGCAGACACTGTAATACATACGATACATCCGTTTTCGTAGCGCGAATCGACTCGTAATCGCTACCGTCGCCGACTTGATAAGGCCTCGATCGAGCAGTCTGCCAGCTCCGCAGCGAAATCGAAGTGTACCCCAAAGCTGACCTTCGTGACTTGAAAGCGCGCACGGTATAGATAACGGTTTCAGAAAAGACTACCAACGAAAGATTCGGCGACGAGACTTCGGGTGGCCTTGGGTTTTGGGATGAGCTCGTCCCTAGGCTGGGTATTTCGAAAACGGCCCCATGAACTCCACGTATTATCCGATATAATCAATCCCTCGAACGCCGGTCCCGGAGATCGCGATGCGTGCTCGATTCTCAAATCACTCGCGTGAACGATTTGCTCGAATATGAAGTACATACTGGCTGGCATGCTGTAGTTCCGAAGGAAGACTGAGAATTTCGACCTAACCACGCAATATCGACCAAGCTTGACGACCATGCGTGGCGAAAAATTAGAGGGAGTTCGTGAAACAAGATACTCGACAGTTCTGGGGGAAGGCTCTCCAGAGGATACTATCGGAGCGACGTCAAAGTCGCACGACTTTAGAGAAACAAGCTCGTGTGGACGACTGGATGTGCTGGACCGTTTGAAAATCCTTGAGCGCACCTATTCGTTCTTGATGCTATGTACATTTTATTCACAAGAGAACACATATAAATAGATGATCCAGGTGGTCTGTACATCTTCCATCGAACGAACAACATGGATGTCCGCAACCTTCCCCGGGATTCAGACAGCTTACAAAGTTTCTGATCCCGATTCTGCCCTACAATCTCGATCAGAATTCCGAGTGTGGGGCGTGGACGAGCTGCCGGGTGGCGCTGAGGATCGCGATCATGATCCAGGACTGGCTGTTTCACATCGCGATCGATCCATTCCTTATTTCGTTCAAAAGCTCTGAGTCGAGAGGAATGTATGTTCTCCGCCTGGGGTCCAGAAAGAAGACGGGGTCCGGATGACACTTGTCGATATCGAAACCATCTCGCTTGAAATTCGTTTTCGACATTTTATAGGTCCCTGTCGTGTCGTCATCCTTCCCGATACGTAGAAACACCGGAATCGCGTACGGGGGCAATGAAGCGGAAAGATCGCGCGCGAGTGTTTCTAGTTTGAGCTCGTTGTAGGCATCGATTAGAACGGCCATACCCGCTTTGCCCTCGGCTCCCGGGACCTCGACACCGAATACGGTACAGCCTATCGAGGGATTTTCGATGACGTTGTTGAGGACGTGTTCGACTTCGGTCGTGGAGACGTTCTCACCTTTCCACCTGAACGTATCTCCGGTCCGGTCCTTGAAGTAAACATAGCCGAGCTCGTCCCGCAGTGCGAGGTCTCCCGACGAGAACATGCGGTCCCCGACTCTGAAGCAGTCCCGATAGATTTTCTTAGAGGTTGCCGAACTCTCCACGTAGCCGTCGAACTTCAGAACGAGATTATCCTGGATCGTTGCTACGAGTTCACCGATCTCCCCCGGAGCGCATTCGACACAGCGTCCCGCGCTGTTGCGCAAAGGGACCCCGCTAATTGGATCCACCTTGATTATAGTTGTTGGTAACCGGATCCCGAGAGCACGTAGAGTGATCGGGAGTGCTCCGATGGCGCCCACTTTATTATCGAGATTGACCAAGTTTGCGATGCCTTCGGTGGAGCCATAAATTTCGCAAATGTTTTTCACGCGGAAGCGAGTCTGGAATTCCGCCCATATGTCACTGCGAAGGCCGTTCCCGAACATGAGCCGGATCTTGTGTTGGTGCTCCTCCGGTCTCGCCTCTTGTCTGAGTAAGTAACGAGCGATTTCTCCAATGTACTGACAGACGGTAACGTCGAAGGTCTTGCAATCGATCCAGAATCTCGAGGCTGAGAACTTGGGCACGATGGCTCCCGTGCATCCACCAATAATCGTCTGAGAGCAGCCCAGAACACCCGAGGCGAGATGGTAGAGCGGGAGATAATGGTAGATGACGTCATTTTTATGAATTAGGACCACCTCGGTGATAGCGAGCGCAAGCTGGATGAATCGGCGGTTTTTGATGACGGCAGCTTTCGGCAGACCGGTGGTGCCAGAAGTGTAGATATAAAAAAGGTCGTCGTTAAGCGCGCCACGGTACGAGTTCGCTTGCTTCGATGACGTCCCGATCCCTGAATCGATGCTCAGAGCTTGCAGTTCCGATGCCAAAGCACACTCACCGAGGCAGAAAAATTTCAAATTGTGCTCGGACGCACCACGGAGCTCATCCACGGCCGAGGCGAAATTTCCGGCAGTTTCGGGCGAGAAAATCACAGCTTTCGAGGCTGAGATTCGCATGGTATGCGCAAGCGGTCCCCGCCTGAGATTCGTGTTGATCAGAGCGGTCGTCACCCCGATCTTGGCAAGACCCAACCACAAAAAAATATACTCGGCCCGATTCTCCATCATCAAGGCCACAGTATCGCCTTTCTTGTATCCGAGAGCTGCGAAGTAGTTCGCCACTTGATTCGTATAGACTTCGGCTTCGTCAAAGGTCCACTGGCGGTCGTGAGTTACGAACATCGGTTTGTTCGGGCTCTGCTTCACGCGTCTCCGGAATAAAGTCACCACGGTCTCATCGGTCTTCGCGGCTCGTTCCATCCGGCGGATCATCCGCCTTGCGCGTGCCATCAGCAGAAAATCCCGTCTGAGCACTCGGTACGCTGTATGCAGCGACTTCCTATAGAACAACCCCACGAGAACCACAGTCAGAACCGCAACCGCTGCCGGGATACCGCGCGAGCGCAACGTCTCGAGTAGAATACACGCATCTTCGGAGTTTTCCATCGCGCGTTCACCTGAGTCGAGAATCAACGATATGATTCCTGGAGACAACAGTTTACTCTTCTTGTAAGGTTGCCCAGTTCGGAGAGGGACTCCTACATGACTCGTCGAGCACGCTCGAGAAACTTGTTCGAGAACGGCGATCTTAGTGAGGGGATCAAGCCTGTCCATTATCGCGCGAGAGTTTTCCAGGAACGAAGCCGAGGGCTGTCTATTCGCCCTTGGAAACCATTTCAAGCCCGAGCTTTTCGGCACGCGGACTCGCTGCGACGGCGGTGAACCGGGTTGGTGATCTTGCAGATTGGCTTGTGGAACTCAACAAGATTGCGAATGCAGGCTAATCAAAACGCAATCGATTACACTGGAGACGCCCAGAGCTGCGTGCACTTCCGCATTAACGAGGAAACACCATATAGGTCATACAGGGCAGGACGCACGCACGAGTTCACGACGCCGAAGCGTCCGCAGGAAATGCGGTTCACCCACGCGGTCGTCGTCGGAACTCTGAGCGAACTATTCATCGGGTTCTGTTTACTCAAGTACGCAAGAACGAGCCCTTCCATAGGGTACACCGTGTTCATCCTGACCATTCTGCTCCAGCTCATGCAGGGAATCGGTTTGGGCTTCGTGTTCATCAAATACGTCGGGAAATCCTTGCAGCTGGTCCAGTGGATCTCTCTGGTGGCGATGAGCCTGAGCCGTGTTTTCACCTATGCGTATTCGGCTCCGGCGTTGAAAAAACACGCCGGGTCGATGCGAAGCCTCTTTGCTGTCTTCCGAGCCCATCATCATCATTCTTTGCGGTCTTCGATATTTTCCTCGATGGTATTAGTTTCAACCATCGCTATCAGCATCTACGGCAGCATTGTATGTATGCTTATTATTCAAAATCCGGGAGCGCGAGGACATTCGTACCTTTATTTCGCGCTCTTCAGCAGCTCGGCCGTACCTTTCTTGGTAGAGATCCCGGTCTGTACGTCCATGCTCGTTTGTCGGAGTCTTTTTTTCGCGAATTATCTCCGATTAGAGCAATGCGCACGTCAGTCGGATCGTTCCCTCATCTCGGGGAGACTTCTGAAAGAGATCGGATGATACGTCGACGGCGTCGTATGCCTTAATGAGGTCTTCACCACTTCGCTGCTCTGCTGGATCTTATTGGCCATGTTCGATCTCTTAGCTCTATCGGAGGCCCTCATCGACAGCGTGGATTGCATGCTCTCCCACACGACTGGGTGTGGGTCCAGTCGGAGCCGGAAAGTCAACTGTTGCTTGTACGTTCTGGAAATCATTTTGATCTACTCGATCTTCAACTGCGCGTCGTAGACATGCAACGAATATGAACGACTCAACAGGGCATTGTTTTGGAGCACAAGAAAACTTTTGCCTCAGCGA